TGTAAATTTCTGGAAACCGATTGAAACCTGTGATTGAAATGGTTTCGATATCGTTCCTTTTCAGGTCAAGATAACGGTTACGGTTTCGGTTTCGGTTTCATTCCTTGTTTTAAATTAATTTAAATTACGTAAACTTATATTTTTATTTTTTGTTATTTTAATGTAATTATAATTTTTAATTGATTTTAAAATAATAGTTCACTGTTTTAATAAGATTTTTTGGAATTTAATTTATAGAAACTTTCTTAAAATTTTTTAATTTATTTGTTGTCTTAATTTAGTTTAATTTTCAGTTTTTAGTTTTAAAAAGAAAAATAAATAATTTCATTTAATATTTGAAAACTTAATATTTTGATTTAATTTTTAGATTTTATTGTTTTAAAACAAAAATATATATATTTTTTTTTTTGAATTTTCGTTGTTTTCTTTTTTGGTTGAATTTGTTTTCTTTTTTAATGTTGTTTTAAAAAGAATTTCGTTTATTTTAATTTAGTACTTATATAGAACTTTGCTAATATTTTTTTAGTGTGGTATTTTTTTAGTATTTGTCAATGTTTGTTTTTTTTTAATTAATTTTTAGTTTTTGTTGTTTTAGTTGGAAAATTTATATATTTTCTTAATTTCATTTGATTTTATGGAAATTGTTTTATTTTTTGCATTTTTAAATTTAACTTTTAGTTTTTATTGTTCTAAACAAAAATATTTATTCAACGATTTATTTTTATTTTTATGAGCTTGAGGCCCTTTTTAATAAAAAATTATTGTGGAAAAACCACAATAGTTTACAATTGGTAGAAATTGTAGCTGCTAATTTGGAAATCACACATCTCCCAATCACTAGGATATGAACCAGCGACTTCGGTTTACAAAGCCAGTGGTCTACCCACCGAGCTAAGTTCGCCACGTAAACTGTTGCTGCTTTTTCCACTTTGTCATATGTCAACCCAACTACAATCAAGGGCAACTATTGTGGTACTACTTAGACTTGATTATGTGGTTGTTGTTGTTGTTTTTTCAGTTAATTTCTAGAATTTCAACTTGAATTCACGCTCGCTCTTAAATATTTGCTCCCTCGAGGTAATAAGCAACTGTTTTTGTTTATATAATTTTTTTTCGGTACTGTAGTCCTTTTCTTTGTCTTGTATATATATATGTACATATATACACATACCTAATTGAAATATATATATACAAATCATTGATCAAATCACCTTTCTCTTTCTCTATATCACAGATCGACATCAGCGCTCAGCCGCAAGCCAAACCTGGCGAAGATGTGCAGCTCCAAATCAATACCGATCCTGAATCATTTGTTGGACTGTTGGGTGTCGATCAAAGTGTACTGCTGCTTAAATCCGGCAATGATATCAACCAATATCAAATATTCAATAGTTTGAGCAACTTTGAAGCCAGTACACCATGGATGCGTGGCTATGGACGCTATCCGGGCCAAGAGTCTGTGTGGTAACAATGACAAATGCAAATTATCCCTACAATGATGGTAAGCGAAATCGAAAAAAAAAAACATTTTTCTTTTTTAATTTGTATAGTATTCTGTAAAACGAGGCACATACTAGTTAAATAGGTAATTATTACATACTACATATACCTATCCCCTTTTTTGGTAATGTGAACCCAAAGAATTATACCTAGTACCACTTGCACTCGCCGATGCTGAGCTAAGCGATGCCTTTTTTGAAACTGAGGTCAATGACGAACCCATACACAGAGATATAAACGATAGAACTATTAATCCCTCAGCCTATGGCATATTGCCAATACGGAAACATTTTCTAGAATCTTGGATATGGACAATGCATAATAGGTTCGTCCACAGTGTAGTTAATTTGGAAAGGCACAAGAGAGCACTTAATAACTATTACTTAATACACCGTGGTAACTGAATGCAATAATAACGGTTTCAAGCTAGCCATTGATTAATGGAGCAACTGTTGTACATACAGTTTCGGTCATATCTATAGCACGCCATTTCAAAGTGATATTGTGTGCCACTTATGTTCAGTTATTTATTTTTAAGAATTTTCAATTAAAATACAGTTCTTTATCTAACAAACCCCATATAAACCCAAGTTTAACAATTTGTAGAAAACTTCAAAAAAGTACAAAAAATTCTCACCTAAGTTTCAAACTTTTTTCTCCGAAGTGTTAGAATTTTTTTGAGTACACAGTTTTTTAGCCACTGCAAT